TCATATATATTTACAATATATTGGCCTACGCTAATATATTTTCACAAGTATTCTAAAAAATGTAAATTTAAATATATTTTTCTAAAGGCATATATTTAAAAATATATATTTAAAAAGATATGCAGAAGGAAGAGATGAACCGATAGTGTTTCAGAGGGTGGAGTGCAGCCTGGCCAGTCCGGTCCCAAAGAGACGGCTTCCTTGGGGATAGCGAAACCCTAGCTTTCCCCTACTTGTCAGGAACCTTTCCCTGCCGTTAGTCACTTTCCCTGTGAGACGGGGGTCTCTCTCCATACTTTACCCACTTCACAAAATGCGTGCCAAAACCCGAGGGCAGGGACTTATAAAGACCCTGCTGACCCAAGATGGCCACCAGGAGTCACATGGATGCAGCGTAGCAAACCAGGAACACTGCTCCATGTCCTAGAAAACCATAGAGAAACCAGGTTTCCCTTGACTTCCTTCCTCTCCAAGCTGTGGTACCACTCGATTGAGCGCCTCCTGCAGTGGAGAAAACAGACTGCACCTGTCTACAGGTCACTGGCTCACCCTTAGCATGGTAACTAGGTAATTGCTTTGTATTTACAGAAGGATAATTACCCCTCTAGAGATGCCATCCTATGACTGAAAGTGTGTTACTGGCAAAATCATCAGGTGAAAATGAAGGAAAAACTGTTTAAAAAGACAGATTTGAAATCCCCGCGGCTTTGTCTCCTCTCCTTGCAGTGGGCTAGATTGGTCAGCACCATGAGGGTTCTGACCAATCAGAAGCCCTCTAGCCCGTACTGCCATTCCTGCAAGGAGAGGAGACGAAGCTGCGTGGTGTTAAAATCCCCAGACCTGTGAAGCGGCTTTTTATTGTGTGACAACATGGTATCTGTGCAGGAAGATTTCCCGCACTGCTCCTGTGTGAACTCAGGCTATGACAAGCCTGGGTTCACAAAGGAGCGCTGAGGAAATCACATGCGATTTGGACCGCATTCCTGTTGAAATCACAAGCTATTCTTTGCAATGTGATTTGTGCCCATTCATTTTGTATGGACTCAAAACACACCACAAAGTATTGGTAATCGGTATCGGCGAGTACTTAACCGACAGTATCGGTATACTCGCCGGTAATAAAAAAGGTATCGGTGCATCCACACTGTATATACATACATACTGTATATTAGAAGTTGTACTTTTTGTGCCATGTGTACATGACAATGACAAGCTACATCAGAAAATTCCCTGACCTTGGCTTTGTTGCTGAGGCTCCTGAGGAATGCGGGAACTGTGCACATCACCAGACGAAACCTTTCCTCTCTCACTGCTTCTCAGCATCCACCTAAAGCCAGCTTTACATGATTAGAAGACGCTAATACATTGCTTGATGGTCACGGGACTCAACAAGGGGATTAGGAGAAAAACAAAAAACTATAGACGTCCTGACCAGGCAAAGGAAGCCACAGACTGAGAGGGTCACATTACAGGACCACCATGATTAGGTCACACTGCAGAACAACAGTGATCAAGTGGCACAGCAGGTCTAAGTAGACAGTTTCGGAGTGTAGGACCACACAGAACAGCTTTGCCAGAAGCCGACGTACAATAAATATTGGGGTACTGTGTTGGCCAGAACTACAGAAGAAATGAATTTTGGGGGGCTTATTTCAGATGGTTACAAAATGAGCAAACAATATTGACTGGATTGCAGGGAACACAAGTAGAAATGTTGGGGTACTAGAAAGATTACCAGAAGGAGGAAGGAGATCCTGATTCCACTGTAAAGAGCTTTGGTTAGAGCTCTATTTAGAATGGTGTTTGCAGGGATAAACCATATGAGAAGAGACTGGGGGAACGTTATTTGCACAGTATTGAGGAAAGATGGGAACGGAGGGGGGAGCTCCAGTTGGGGGAACTTGACCAGCTCCAGTCGCGTTCCAGCCTCTTCAACGCCCCGTACAAAGTTAATGCCCCTGTATTTGTTTGGGATGATGTTGAAGCTCCGCTCAAAGATTGGAGTTCCCATCTCAGGAGGAGAGCACTGGAGTAGGGTGTAAGGTAAGACATAGAGCCTCTTCTTCTCTCACCTTCATCTCTACACTGCAAGAGTCAATTTGTTTTTTATTTTCATGGAGTTAGGCATTTAGCACATAGGAATATGACCTCAAACTAGCAAGCAGAAAGTTAAAGATTAACATTAGTATGTATTGCTTTACCTATGTGGTCGTTGTCATGGGAAGATTTCCTCATTATTCCTGTTCTAGTGACAACTCAAAATCACTTTCACTCCTGGTGACATTGTTGATGATCAGGACAATTACAGAGTGATCATTTTAACAGGTAATACAATAATAAAACAGAAAGTCATAAAAACTTGACAGTGGTTCTAACCCCTCATCACCCTATCCAAATCTAAAAAAAATGTTGTGTTTAGTTATACTCTAAGGGTAGTATAACTTTCAGCAATATGTCTATGACCAGAATTTTCCTGTCTCTGAGGGGAGTCCCTGTTATATGTAACCGTGCCAAACTGAAACCACTGTGCCCAGTGACAATTTCCGTGGCCCTTAGAAAATCCGAATCCCTGTTTGTACTTGTGTTTGGTCTATGATCAGAATGACTGTATTGGAGACATACAGTATACTTGTATTAGAAAGTAAGAACCATATTAAAGTGGTTCTAATGGCTGAAGGTTTTTTATACCCCTCTAAGCCCCCCTAATACTTATCTGAGCCCCATCGTGATCCAGTGCTGTGCACAGGAGCCTCGGCTCTCCCGAGTCTCTCCCTCCTTATTGGCTCAGACACAACAGCGAGAGCCATTGGTTCCTGCTGCTGTCAATCACATTCACAGCTAGTGAGAACGGAGTGGGAGGCGGGACTGAGATACGCTCTGTGTGTCCCATAGAGATACAGAGGCAGCTCGGGAGCGAGCATGCAAGAGTGCCCCCAGAGCATGCAGCTTGCTCTGGGGGCACTCGGCAAGGGGGAGGGGCCAGAAGTGCTGGCGAGATCAGAGCTGATCTGTGCAAAACTATTGCACAGAGCAGATAAGTATTACATGTTTGTTATTTTAAAAAAATGAAACCTTTAGAATCACTTTAAAAGGTTTAGGTGAACCATACTTACCTGCTTTTGAACAGTGCATTTGCACAGAGCAGCCCTGATCTTCTTCTTGGGTCCCCCTGCTGGTGCTCCTGGCTCCTCCCTCTTTCAATTATTCCCCCCAGCAAGCCACTTGTTAGAAGGGGTACTCGTGCAAGCTTATTACTGAGCTCCACTGGCTGTGTCCATAATCACAGACAGCAGGGTTTTGCCCCACCCCCTGCTCCCTCATTGTGGGCTTTGATTGACAGCCAATCTGTCCTGTGAGAAGGGACAGAGCCAGGAGAGTTGCTGCTGTTGTGCACATCGCTGGATCAAGATTGGGCCAAGATATGTATAACGGGGGCTGGGGGAATCCTAGACACAGAAGGGTTTTTACCGTCATTTAGAGAATGCATTAAGGTAAAAAAACCTTGAAGCTTTAAAACCACTTTAAAATATGAAGAACAAGAATCACAATATTACAATATTATTACTTTCACCAGAGTGACCCTGGTTTGTAACTATGGAGATAAACTGGAATATAAGGAGTTAATTGATTTAGGTTTAGAATCTAAAGGGTTAGCAGAAGAAGGATGTGACATATTCCTAAGGGCCCTGGCCGATTCTGTTCCTGCTGCCACCTTGGATCCTATGCCACTAACGGCAGCTCCTGTAGGATATCAACTGTGGACCAACATATCCCAGGAAGATGTCGTCTAGATGGATGAAGTTGTTAGTACACAGAGCTTGGCAGGAATAAGACTAAATGAGCTTACAGGCCCTCTCTGCCAGGTCTCTGCTCATCTGTTTTCATGAAAAGCGGACAGGTCTGTTTTTTTCTTAGCTGTCAACCTCTCATTCTTTGTACACAACCTTTCAAAGGTCTTTACAGGCTGCCAGCTATGTGCAAGTCTAGTAAAAACAAAGCTATTTTATTAACCTGTTCAGCAGATTATTGGTGTATATTATGGCATTTGTCACTTAACATTCATTTTGCCAGATTGATGACATTACCTCTGGCTCTGTTTTGAAGCTCAAAGTAGAGCTAATAGGACTTGATGTTTTGATTCCTATGGTAAGTCTGCACATTTTGGGTTTGGTGTGGTTAAAAAGGGGAGGGTAGGTACACCATTGGGGTCATCAGATCGGCACCCTCCTTCTTTGACACTTCATTAATGTAATCAGAAGTTTACAGAATAAATTGCAATATTTTTTATCCAAGATCTCAACATCCTACAGTATGTTCATATTCATAACGGCCAAAACCAGAAAATGTAAATCAATGACGATCGTTTTTTGCTGTCTGATCCCCGTTGTCATCTTTCTAATAATATACATGCATTGTGTAAATGAGACTGATAACACAGTGCCATTTAGACAATCACCTGTCCCCCCCCCCTTCCCAAGCCTCCCCACATCTCTTAGTCATGTATAATTCCAATGCAGTCACCCCTTAGATGTGGACCATCCCACCTTGAAACCCCTTAACAAGAAGCAGATGTGTGAATGTGGAAGGGGAGCAGGGTCAGGCATTTTAATGAGCTGAGGAGTAGTGGTGAAAAGGAGGGTGGTGCCTCTACAGAGGAGGATTTTTAAAATTCTTTTGTTCCCAAGGAATGAGACATCAGACAAAACCTAGGCTTGCATCAAGAGTAAGCCCATTTACAGGAAAGAGATTTTAACAAGTTAAGATTTCAATGATAAAAAAAAAAAGTACAAGCTCAAATTTTAACTTCATCTCATACAAGGTGCTTGCGGTCATGAACACACTCCCCTCAATCTTGTGTAATAGAAGGAGTTTGTGCTTGCTGCATATCAAAGGCATCTTTGGAGGCAGAGTCGGATGTTGTCTACCTTGACCCGAAGCTGGAAGGGAACACTAGTTGTTACACTCACACAATGCATCCACCAGGGGCGGACTGACAACTCATGGGGCCCCCGGGCAATAGGGGGTCATGGGGCCCCTGTGTCCTTGCCCAAACTCAAAAAAGCCTATGAAAAAGGTACCAGGGGCATCTCATGGGGTCCCCTACTGACCCCGGGCCCTCGGGCAGTGCCCAGGTTTCCAAATGGTCAGTCCGCCCTGGCATCCACTTTATGGCAGTCTATGGCTGTCATACATGGCTCAAATTCATGCTGTGGGTGGCCCTTTAGGCAGGTTATACACTGCTTGAAATCTGGCAAATTCGGCTGAAATTCCAGCAGTAAATAGCACTGTTGGCACCACCTGGCTCAACAAAGGTCAATTTCTCAATTGACTTTTGTTTAAGGAGCTGGGTGGAAAATTGTTGGCTAAACCACCAATCAGGTGCAGTCACTGGGTACTGGCAAAAGCCAGTAGAAGAGATTTTTTCACCCTCACTGTTTAGTGTGGATGAAGGAATCCATCAAGTTTCTCTCTTTCAGCTTGTGGGCTGAACAAGAGAAATCTATATGTGTATGGCTAGCCTAAGCAGTGTTTCGGGTGCTTTAGGTGATAAAGATGCATCCAGTAAGCACAGACAGACATCAGTGACATCTAACTGCTCCTAAAGCAGAACTTCACCCAAAGGGGGAAGTTCCGCTTGTTTGCCACCTCCCCCCCTCCACTGCCACATTTGATACAAATACCTGAACAATCTTCAGGGTGTCAGAGACCTGGTCCCCAACTTTGTACTGTGGTTCACCACTCACTCATATCACTACTATGCCCTGTAGTGAAATAGGGACTGAATGAGACCCCAATGAGCAGTGGGGGGACCAAGCATCTGACATTCCCAGAAGTTTGTTGGATGTGAAAGTAATATTAAATGCTCTACAGATTTTAGGCTAAGCAGTCTACGAAACCATTGAACAACCATTGAACAAATCCCCAATGTATGTTTTGTTTAATATCTATTCACAAATCACCTGCACTAGCTGCTCGTCGCAGAGCACTGCTTTCCTGAACTTCTGGATGGGGGAGCTTGCCCTGAACAACACAAATGCACTGTTCTGAAAGAATAGCACAGGAAGGAAAGTCGAACAGGGGAGAGACTAAATGTCTGAGCACACGCAAAGATGGCTCCACTGAACCCGGTAAGGGGATGGAGCCACCCCAAAACACAACCCAGGTAAGTGAGGGTTTTGAGTGTCAAAATGCAAAGCAAAGAAAGGCTACAAAAAGCCTGTGGGTGGACAGGGCTGAAAGCTGGACTTTCCTCCCTGAATGCACAGGGCCCTAAACACCGGTACCACCCAGTACAGCATTTGGCTACATCCAGCCACAGCCTGCCATAGACGTAATCAGACTGACTGCAGCAGGGTTGGATGCGGCACCTCTCACTCCTGATGCACACTTAAATGCTGCGATGAACTGAGCTGGTAGTGGGAGCGGGTACCTGTCAAAACCGGTTACCTGCCCCCCCCCCCCCCCCCAAACGGTGCCAAATGTGGCAGTGGAGGGGGTGCAAACAAGCAGAGCTTGTCCTTTTGGGTGAGCTCCGCTTTAAGACCCAGCTCACATATATGAAAATTGGATGCATTTTGAACCGTATCCGATTCACATGACATGTGAACCTGCAGCCTTTTCAATGAAGCTGGTTCACATATGTGCGGACCGGCCGCAAAACATTTTTAAAAATAGACCAGTACATTTTGGAGCACGGTTTGGGTGTGATTTCCATTGTCATACATTTTGATAATTCACACCTGAAACGTGGAATATGCACTGGAGGGGGGCGAAATCCCGCTGTCAAAACCAGACTACAGATATGTGAACTCAGTGTTACTCTGCAAGGGCAAAGCACAGGATTCCTTTAGAACAGAATGGGTGCAGACAACAAAGTGCTGCAGCTCAATACTTAAGAATAGCTGCAATTAGCTTTTCCAGCTTTAGAAAGTGCAACAAATTTAAAAATAGGTCCTATTTAGAGATCCAAACAGCAAATCTAAAGTCACAGCATACCTTTACATTTCATACCATCAGTAATGTAATATCCATACACAAATTGTTGGTTTTCCAATAGGAGCTTACTTGAAAAATCTCTTTCCATGTTGTGAGTGTTGCCTGTCTGCTGGCCATCTCTTTCCACAATTTCCTGGATTCCCTGCATGCTTTGCAGCTTCTCCTCTCCTGTTTATTTTCAGTTTCTAAGGACTACATATCCCATGGTACCTTGCTGCCTGCAAAATGTGATTCCTGTACTGACTCCACCTCCTGAAACTCCTCCTCTCAGCACCTCTTTAGTACAGAAGGCAGGCTCTGTGAAAGGTGTGACACAGCAGTGCTACTCACAGGACATAGTGACCACAGGTCACAGAATTCAAAGAAGGAAATGTGTGGGGTCTTCACAAACTAAGTTTCCAGATCATTCAGATTACTAGGAGTAGTCTAGAAATAACTGAAATACAATGTGGAAATGAATAAAAATGATTTACATTTTGACCATAGGTACACTTTTAAAGCTGAACTCCGGGCAATTTTTTTTTATCCATGCAGTGGGTCTGTGCCCGTACTGCACGGGTTAACTGCTTGTTTTGTCTAGGGGTGAGGAGACAGCTTATACTCACCCAATTTTTCGATTCTCCAGAAAACGGCACTCAACACGGTCTAGTGGTAGACAGGGTTGACAACCTTCAGTAAATTTATGGACAGTCCATACATTTTAACCTATTTATGGGCTGTCTGTAAATGCCCGTTATGGACAGTGGCCATCCATAAAAAATATGGCTGTGGATCGACTTTGGAACTGAGCATGTGCAGCTTCAAATACGCTGAGGCATTTTAGGCTGTTCTTGGGCAGCCCTACTCGTGCAGTTTAAAGTCGACCAGGCTCAGGCAAGCTCAGCCATTTTCAGCTGCTCCTGGGCGGGCAGGCACATTAGCAGTGATGTCATTGCGTCGCTTGGCACCGTTTATGAATACGTGGAAAATGTCCCCCATGTCCATGCATTCTCTTTCCGGTGCTGTCAGGTGCTGATCACTGCACCATTTCCAGGCTGCCTGTGATGATCATCCTCTCCCACTAGGCTCTGAGCAAAGAGCTCCAGATTCCCATCAAACATGATCCCTATAGTGTGCTGCTGGAGTCCTGACACAGACAAGGAGGACTGTCTTCTCTTTAAGTCCGAAACTGGGACCAGTCTGAGTGAGTACTGACTGTCTCTGTATCCTGCCTGCAGCCTCTAACCATCTCCTGTAGCCTCTCCGCAGCCTCTAACCATCTCCTGTGTCCTCTTTGCAGTCTCTAATAATCTCCTTTACCCTCTCTGCAGCCTCTGACCATCTCCTGTACCACACCCACAGCCTCTGACCATCTCCTGTATCATGTCTGCAGCCTCTGACCATCTCCTGTATCACATCCACAGCCTCTGTCCATCTCCTGTATCACACCCGCAGCCTCTGATTATCTCCTGTACCACACTCGCAGCCTCTGACCATCTCCTGTATCATGTCTGCAGCCTCTGACCATCTCCTGTATCACACCCGCAGCCTCTGACCATCTCCTGTATCACATCCGCAGCCTCTGACCATCTCCTGTATCATGTCTGCAGTCTCTCCATCTCCTGTACCATGTCTGTGGTCTCTGACCATCTCTTTTACTATGTGTGCAATCTCTGACCATCTCCTGTACTATGTCTGCAGTCTCTGAATGTCTCCTGTACCAATCTCTGACTGTCTCCTATAGTATGTCTGCAGTCTCTGACCATCTCCTGGAATATATCTGCAGTCTCTAACCCATCACCTGTAGGATTTCTGCAGTCTCTGACCAGCTCTTGTCTTGTGTCATGTCTGCACAGTCTCTGAGGAAGAGCATGGAGAGGAGTCAAGAGCGGGGACGGGGATCACGGGAGGAGTCAGACGTGTGTGGACTGTGGAGAGGAGAATATAGGATTAAACCAGAGCCGCCAAGCTGGAGCCTGGAGAGGGCCTTCTGACTGAGCCCAGCACAGTACACCTGAGAGGAGGTCAGTGACAGCACCGCAAGGCCAGGCTGAGGGGGGGGGGGGGGGGGTAACTGATGTAAGGGGAAGTGAATACAGCAAGGTAAGGGGGGGGCACTGAAATAAAGGATTCCCCCTTATATCATTAACCCCCCATACCTCAGTGTATCACTCTGAAGGTGGTCTGTGGTCACCAGAGTCCCCCCCCCCACATCAGAATTCCCAGCCTTACCACTTAAATCAGTGTCCTTAGAGTTCCCCTTTACATCAGTCTGCGGGATTCCCCATTACAGTGCAAGGGGGAACTCTGATGTAAAAGGGCAACACTGAAGACCCTGATGTAAGTGGAAACTTTGATGTAAAAGAGAAATCTATAGACTCTGATGTAAGGGGGGGGGGGGGTTTCTCTGGTGACCAGAGAGCACCTTATAGTAGAGTTCCCCCTTACACAAAAAGTCTGCAGCATTCCTCCCTACAACATGATTTGCAGTATTCCTCTTTAAACCTCAGTTACCCTTGTACTGTAAGGGGGAATCCAGCAGACTGGATTGATGTAAGGGGGGCTCTGTGCTCACTGAGTTATATAACCGGACCTTCATGGAAATGGAGAAATATGGTTTTTGACTTTTCTTATAACCTAAACACATTGCTAATAGCACTAGTTATATGTTTGCTGCTTAAATATTGATATTTGTGTTGTTTTGCACTTAAAACTGCTATTTTATGTACCTTTTTAAAGTGTCAGTAAAAATGGTGGCTCTCTCAGTAGATGTTATGATTTTTGTTAGAAAAAAAATGTTGGTGCTGTTTGTAACATTTGGGCTTCCTGTCACTAAATTTCACTTCAGGCGGTTGGCAACACTGGCGGTGGGCTGTTCCTGGTCTAGGGAGCCTGCTCTGGCCATGATGGCATCAGGAATAGTCCACTATTCAAGACCGCTGGAGCAGGGGGGTGTCAGACCAGCCTTGTGCATGGAGAATCAGAGGATTAGGTAAGTATATCTTCGCTCTCCTCTCCCCTAGAAAAAAATGAGCAGTTAACCAGTGTAGTGTGGGCACTGCCCCATTGCATGGGAAAAAACTATTTTGCTTAGATTTCAGTTTTAAGCACTTTTGACCGCTGATTTAGTCCTGGTTCATACCGGTGAAACTTGTCATGTGATTTGACAGTTTCAAATCGCGTGACAAGTCACGCCCTATTGTCCACAATACAATTGTTCAAATCTGTGGTGTGGAGTCACACTGATTTTGAAAGCAGTTCCTGCACTATTTTTTGTGATTTCAGG